CTACTGAAACAGGATATTTAAGAAAAGAAAAAAGTGTGAAGTTGAACTTCATTTTAACTATCGTTAATCTGTTGTGGAGGACTAACTACTTCCTGAAAGACTACCAGCACTCGTAAAAATAAGCAGCACTTTGGCCTAGATTACATCAGCTGAAGGAATTCATCATTACATGTTGTTCATTCACATTAAGACCAGGATTTCACATTATGAAACTAAATATAGTACATTTTAATTTCATACTATTGACTTTGCACAGCTAATAGCCAGCAGTTAGAGATCAAATGATTTGACTTTACTTACAAAATGCATTGCTGAATTGTTTCATAAAGGTCCGATTAAAAGACCTCAGGTTGCTGCCAGTAAGTAATGCGTTGGTGAACTGGGGCCAAAAATGGAGTTATTGGTTTGGAGTTTATAAATTCCCATCAGCACTTTAAACGCAGGCGACTTCTGCATTATGTATGTGCGTCCTTTAGACAAGGTGGACGGTTTAAGAGTTTCTGCACAAACAAGGCAGAAACTGACCTTGGATCAGGGTCTTTGTTAATGCATGTCTGTGGGTTATGCAAAGTCAGTTAATTTAGCATGGCTGCATTGTTCACGGAACTATGTTTTGTACTTTCATCTTGAGGAACTGGATTTACAAAAAAAGGTGTTTACATGCACCAGCTATTTTGGAAGCATGTTTAGTCATGTCTTCAACTACGTTCCCAATTTGGTGGAAAGGTCGTAAATTGTTTACGCAAAACCTGATTTGCACACCTAGATATTTGCCTTTTTTCACAGGTTCACTTTGCATGTAACCTCCTTTATCAGCTTATTCAGTGTGAACTTTTTTTTTTTTTTTTGTAATGGAAGATGTCTGGCATTTTTTAGTTTATTACATCTGATGCATATTACCTAGAAAAGTGGGAAGCATTTGTTCTGGTATCTTGATTGTGATCTGGCACGGACTAATGTGATTGGTTGACTTTTATGAAACTGTTTATGAGATAGCAGGTTGCTATTTTCAGCAGATGGGTTAATCGCTGGATTTAATCATTTGTCAGGTTACTGGCATCAGATCTAGATCTCATATCTTAGAAGATAATATTAAGAAAAACTATTTAAAGTCAATTAGTTTGCGTTTATTGGTGTTCACCACAATTTACTGGGTATATATGAAATAAACAGGAATTGACTGAAAGAGATACAAGAATTTAGGTAGAATTGACATCTTTATAATATTTATACGTCCAATCATAGAGATTGGCAATGCACTCCATCTCTCGAATGAATCCATGACTTTTTTTATTAATGGGTCATAATTAATTGAAATGATCTCTTTTATATTTGGGACTATTTTAATTCCTAAATATGTAAACCCTTCCTGAGAATTGAAAAATTGCCTGTTGTTCGTAGAGTTTCTCCTTTCATCCCCATTTGCTATCTGTTTGTATTTTTTTAATTCTCCACGCTAGCAGTTTTCCTGATTTTTTTCCCCCTGATCATAATAGGACTGTTTTAGCCACATTCAATTCTTAGATATTTTACTACTAGTTATTTTATTATATTTGGCTTTTAGTAAACCAAGTTATTTCTGCTTTGCAGGGTCATTATTGCTAAACAGATGCTGTTCCAGTATTTTAATTTGTTTCCCCAAGTTTTCTAATTGTGCCTGATAAATTTTGGATCTATATCTTGTATAACTTAATATCTCCCCTCTAATATATGCCTTGAAGGCCTCCCATTTAACTGAGGCACTCGTCTGATTTGTATTGACTAAAAAGTATAGGTCTATCTTATTATCCAGAAATTTTACAAAATCATGATCAAGAAGCCAACTTGCTTGTAATCGAAATCTGGGAGGGGGGGAGGAGGAGTACAAGATTATCTATTTAGATTGTAAACGTAATAGGAGCATGATCGGACAATAGGATACTATCATACCTTCGCCACCAAACCATTAGAAATTCGAAAATCGATTCTTGAAAATGTTTATGTATTTGAAAAGCATGAATATTCTTTCTTGCTTGGATTGAGATACCTCAATCTCAACTAAATTTAAATCAGTCATATACTTCAAAAGAGTTTTTTTGGACTGTTGATGGGTACTATCTACTCCTGAAGAACGATCATACTCTGGGTTTAGTACACAATTAAAATCTCCTCCAATTACATAATTTCCGGGATATGCTGATATAGTGAAAAAGAAATTCTAATGTAGATGACCCTTCCTTTTTTCAGGAGCGTATATGCTTATTAAATTAATGTGACGTCAAAATTATACCATTAAGAATTATGTATCTCCCTAAGGGGTCTATATATTGCTGTTTTAGCTGAAATGGAACGGACTTATGTATAAGAATCATGACTCCTCTGGCTCGAGAGGTGAAAGATGCATTGAAAACTTGTCCTGGCCATCTCTTAGTGACTCTACTAATATCTTCTTTTAATAAATGAGTTTCTTGTAGAAAGATTATGTTTGATTTCATTCGTTTCAGTCGACCTAGTACTTATTTTTTTAATTCTCCACGCTAGCAGTTTTCCTGATTTTTTTCCCCCTGATCATAATAGGACTGTTTTAGCCACATTCAATTCTTAGATATTTTACTACTAGTTATTTTATTATATTTGGCTTTTAGTAAACCAAGTTATTTCTGCTTTGCAGGGTCATTATTGCTAAACAGATGCTGTTCCAGTATTTTAATTTGTTTCCCCAAGTTTTCTAATTGTGCCTGATAAATTTTGGATCTATATCTTGTATAACTTAATATCTCCCCTCTAATATATGCCTTGAAGGCCTCACATTTAACTAAGGCACTCGTCTGATTTGTATTGACTAAAAAGTATAGGTCTATTTTATTATCCAGAAATTTTACAAAATCATGATCAAGAAGCCAACTTGCTTGTAATCGAAATCTGGGAGGGGGGGAGGAGGAGTACAAGATTATCTATTTAGATTGTAAACGTAATAGGAGCATGATCGGACAATAGGATACTATCATACCTTCGCCACCAAACCATTAGAAATTCGAAAATCGATTCTTGAAAATGTTTATGTATTTGAAAAGCATGAATATTCTTTCTTGCTTGGATTGAGATACCTCCAAATCTCAACTAAATTTAAATCAGTCATATACTTCAAAAGAGTTTTTTTGGACTGTTGATGGGTACTATCTACTCCTGAAGAACGATCATACTCTGGGTTTAGTACACAATTAAAATCTCCTCCAATTACATAATTTCCGGGATATGCTGATATAGTGAAAAAGAAATTCTGAAAAAAGGACGGGTCATCTACATTAGGAGCGTATATGCTTATTAAATTAATATGTGATGTCAAAATTGTACTATTAAGAATTATGTATCTCCCTAACGGGTCTATATATTGCTGTTTTAGCTGAAATGGAACGGACTTATGTATAAGAATCATGACTCCTCTGGCTCGAGAGGTGAAAGATGCATTGAAAACTTGTCCTGGCCATCTCTTAGTGACTCTACTAATATCTTCTTTTAATAAATGAGTTTCTTGTAGAAAGATTATGTTTGATTTCATTCGTTTCAGTCGACCTAGTACTTAAGTTTTACCAAATTATTTAGTCCTCTTATATTCCAGCTACAAATATTTATCTCCGAGTTATTAACCATTTACCTACTTATATAACCATGTAGATGCAGCTGTGCCTGGGTGTATGATACAGAATATAGAACAGAAGGGAAAGGAGAAAAAAAAAACAAGCTTACATAAACAACCCCCCGCCATCCCACCCCACCTGCATTCCCCCAAATGGAAAGCATAATAATCCCCCTTACAATGAACTTTGGTTATGAAACATGTTTGATCCATATAATATGGAGCAACATTTAGCAAGCCTGCTCTCATTACTATCAGCCTGGGCTCGCTACCCAATGAAGAACATAACTGGGCCATGAATCTTATACTAAATCCCACCCTATAGAACATCGGCCTAGTTTAGATTGACTCATGTGCATCTATTCATGAACTTGTTTACTCGTATAAATGAAAATATTGGAGAAAGAAAAAAAAACATTTAAACTATACATTTAAACCAGCAAGGTGATTAGCCGAAATATTCCGGTTCTGCTGGAATATAATCAATTTCAATTCCACGCAAAATGTAAACATCTTGACAACTTGAACATAGAAATTATAGGGTATCCTTGACTTTGAAAACTAAACACAGAGTTCAAGTCCTTATGAGTCCACACTTACTTGTGTTACAGTGTTTAAGCAGTGGTACGTATTGACCGAACAAAGTCATCCGCCGCAGCGACAGATTTAAAGACATGACGCTGGCCATCGTGCGTGACTATCAGGTGCGCTGGGTAAAGCATCCCGTATCGAATTTCCATGTCTCTTAAGTTGTGCCTTTACTCCGTCAAGCTGTCGTTGGCGTGTCTCAGCTGATAGATCTGGAAAAAAGCTAATCCGTTGCCCTTCATATCTTAATTCCTTCATTTTCCTAGCCGCCCTCAAAGCCTTCTCCCTGTCCTGGTAATTCAGGAACTTCATCACAATCACTCTTGGAGTTGACGGGCGGTTCGGGTTAACTTGTCCTACGCGGTGCGCTCGTTCGATGACAGGTGGAGATCTGAACTCATCCTTCAGAATCGTGGGGAATAAATTCTCAATGAAGGCACACATATAAGATCCTTCTGTTTTTTCGGGCAGGCCAATTAGTCTCAGATTAGAACGCCTTCCTCTGTCCTCCAAATCCTGTACCTTGTTTCGTAGAAATTCTGTTGTTTCTTCGAGTTTAACTTTGTGTTGAAGGGCTGAGACGTCCTCTTCAGTTTGTGCGATCCTCTCTTCAGCCACTCCTATTCTTTGCGCTTGTGGTGTCAGTGAATTGTCTCGAACAATCGGCTTTCAAAGACTGAACCGCACGTAGGATATCGCCGTTTGTGGCCGCGTTATCTTCACTCTGTGGCTCGGCTAGCTTCTTGCTAGCTAGCACCTTGCCTTCCTCCATCTGCCCAGATGGCTTCGGATTCGGATGCTGTGCAGGTTTGGTGGTTTTGGGTGGCATTTTGTCCTGCCAAACTTTAAAGTGTTTTCCATCACTCGCCTTTGCATGATGAGCAGCCATCTGAAGAAAACCGAGAAGGCCATCAATGACTTCTTCCGCACGGAAGGCGCGGAAAAGCTCCAAAAGGCCTTTGAGATCGCGAAGCGAATTCCTATCATTACCTCGGCAAAAACACTGGAGCTGGCGAAGGTCACGCAGTTCAAGACCATGGAGTTTGCGCGCTACATCGAGGAGCTAGCGCGTAGCATACCGCTCCCGCCACTGATCATGAACTGCCGCACCTTCATGGAGGAGATCCTCGAGGTCGTCGGCGTAGAGGAAATGAGACACACTTTTGTCCGACAAGCACCTGAGAGTCACGGCGGGGTGGCTGCTGGCACTTCCGATGACGTTTTCACTATCTTGCGTGAAAGAGAGCGGGAGAGGGAGCGCAGCGATTCTCCCGCCGTGGACTCGGACGACGTGTCGCTTCACGAGCAGCCTCAGTACATGGCCATTCAGGTTTCAATTCATCCGCCGTTAGCTGCAGCAGGATGCTGTAACGAGGAAGCTCCGCCTCTTTCCAAAATAGTCTCCTCTCCGTCCCCATTGGCTCAGCTGCCTCTGGAGGCAGAGTCTGAGGAGAAGGAAAACAAGGCGGAGTCTGTACAAGTAGGTGGTGCTGCACAGAAAACCCAAGTCATTTATGAAAGCCATGTGTAATATCCTGAAGGAAGGATAATGACCTCGCTATGCATTTTCTTTGGGAACGAAAAGGTCAAGATTTGTTTTTCTTTTCAGAAGTTGCTCTCTATTAGTCATCTTAGGAAAGATGAAGAATAGATGCATTTGTGTTTGGGTGAATCTCGCAAAACTCATATTTCTGGGTCATATTTTACCTTGGGGAGAAAAAAAAAGAGGAATTGTATTTTGCGTAAAGAAAATAAAGCCCATTTTCCATAGTTTCTGCAATGCGTTGATATTTTAATGAAGTTAACCCTCCATCTTTAGAAGCTATTGTAATTCATAAAATGTTCTCATTACAGTAAAATTTCAAAAATATATATATTTTTTAAATTTTAAATGCTCAGCATTCATTCAGTTATACATCTTGGTTTGTATTTGTGACGACTGAATTGAATTTAGGTTGATTTCAATTAAAACTGAACAGAATAATTGTTAGTACTTTTGCAATTATATAAAAAAAGTTCAAATATTCGCATTACTGTGTATTTACATTAATTTTTTATTTTATTATTATTATTTTGCATGACAGTAATGTGATTTTTGAAGGCAAAATTTGCCTAAAAGGATAATATCACAATCCCCCAAAATTACGAATAGTCCTAAAAATTGTTTATTTTATGCAATTTTTTCTTCTTTGAATTTTGGGGTAAAATATAGCCTTGTCATTTCTTTGTGAGATTGACCTGTGTAAGTTATATTTCCCATGACAATGAATATTCACACTGAATGTATTTTGGGCGAAGTTCTCTATTTATTTAGAAAATCCAGGTTTGCCCATGATTGATTTTTTTTCATAGTTTCCATAAACTAGGGCTCTTGAGGGATACAAAGCTCACATCTCACGTCTTAATCATCAGACATAAAGTTAGGTTGGATTTAGTTACGGATTATCCATTTCACGAATGAATGAGAACGTACGACTGATTAATACATTTGGCTGAAATTACACCGTTTTGAGGCTGAAGTGCATTTTTCATTCCATAGAAATCCCACATCTTTGAAAATATTTCAGAAGTGATGTGCACAGTAGTGTCTAAGATCTCGCTCCCTCTTATAATGCATGAAGAATGCATGTGGATCTGTCTTCAGTGCTGGACTCGGCGAGACTAAACGTTTGTTTGTGTGATCCTGTCTGCTATGTGTTATTTATCATCCGAGTCAGGTAAACACGGCATCGACACTTTGAATAACATTGTAGAAATTTCAGTTTGAGATTACGAGGCATTTTATTCTGTCGAGTTTCCACTGGAGTCTTCATACTGTTACTGTAATTAATGATAGTATTACTTTACTAGTAACTATTACTTTTGATTTCAGACGCACAGCTAGGTTTCGTTCTTTCGAGTGTTTGTTGATTACGAGGCATTTTATTCTGTCGAGTTTCCACTGGAGTCTTCATACTGTTACTGTAATTAATGATAGTATTACTTTACTAGTAACTATTACTTTTGATTTCAGATGCACAGCTAGGTTTCGTTCTTTCGAGTGTTTTTGTTTCATTTGAACTTGTCTTTTTGAGGATCCAACAGAGAGTTCTTTATAACGGAGCCACGGTAATGTTTAATCTCTTCGAAACACGCTTCTTAAAAAGGCTCACCTTTTAGTTTCAGTGTGAACAAGTTAGAATTCTTCTTTTTTGGGCTCTACATCCAGAGTAACCTAGCAGTCCGCTGCACTGCTGATATAGCTAAACAGGTTAAGCACTAGTCATTACGAATGTTCCTGTTTTAGAAGTAGTGAAATAAAGCTGCTGTGTACCCATGATTCCCTGTGTGTCTTCATTCACTCGGATCTTTTGAGAAGCCTTTGTATCATCAAAATTGCATCATGACTCTTTGTAGGCACTTGTTGATCTTTTGCAGATCATTTTATGCTGTTTGAAGAACAACATCTAGTGTTTTTCCTGTCGTGTCTTCTCCACTCAATCGTTGGAATTATATTGACTAAGCAGATTTTGAAGTTAGCGTTCAAATAAGTTGGTTTTAGTTCACAATGCATGAAATGCTGAAATGGTGTTGGATATTCAAGTGTTGAAATGCTTGAATAAAACACCCGGTAATGTTTCTGTCCAGATATTTGAAGTGCATTAATAAGTGCTGAGCTGAATGCATTATTTCTGTGTTTGTGTTACTGATTTGCATGTGTGAATGAATATGTCTGATTTTAAGGAATAGTTAATGCAAAATGAGACAAGTAGACTTTTTTTTTAAAATATGTATTTTATTTAGGTAAAACGTTTGATTAGACTTGCCGTTGTAACGCTGCAGTCATACAGAATGGATTCACTGAAATTAAGGGAATAAAATATAATTAGTAAAAGTATAATTTGAATGAAATTCAATTAATTGAGCAGCAATAAAAAAAAGCTAAAAGTATGTAATTTTATAATTACGTATGCATTAGTTATGTGGGTCATTCTATGGAAATGTCCATTTTTCTGTCCCTAGCCTTTAAAGAAATATTACACTTGAAAAACACTTTAGGGTTACACACATACATATATATATATATATATATTAAAATGGAACAGTGTTATTTGAACAATTACACCTTCTTGAGCCATCGATGTGGTAATGTTTTTAATGAATTATAACGAATTCCACAAAACTGCTCGTCCCCACAGCCATGTACAGAGGGAAAGTGCTTTATTTTGAGGTCCAAAACAGGATTTTCTACCATTTAAAATACAATAATGTATTCCTAACTATCAAACATGATGTAACACACATAAAAAAAATGCCAAATCGATATTATAAAATATATAATGAAAGTAGTGGTGTGTCACTGGTGTTCATACCATTTAACAAAAATCATTTATTTTGAAATAAAAATCTCACTGATGACATCATTTGACTTCCTTCTTCCTATTTCCTGAAGATCTATGAAAAAAGGGCCCAAGAGCAAAGAATTCGCATCAGGTGTGTTTTGCGTTTTTAATATTTGTAAAAAGTAATTTATGAAGCCACTTTAATCTGTATCACATCAAAACTATCAATTTAAACAAAAATTTACCGTCAACTACAGACGTTGTATCCATCGATTCCGCCATGTTTCTCATTGACCCAACTCGGAAACTCAGGGCTTAAAGAAAATTTCGAGTTTCCCACTAGTAATAACGACTTTGTGGTGCGTTCTATTTCACAAATATTTCACGTTCTTTCTCATGTGCGTTCAACTCGTAAATATGATCTATCCGACATGACTTGAATGCACCATCAGTCCACTGTCTCTTTTCAGTTATCAGAAATTTTCTCATTTATCTCATGATTTCATATGAAGCTTTTAGTGGAAGTCACTGGTATGACCTACGTTATTGTTAGGGAATTGTGAAAAAAAAAACTAGAATACAAATGGATTAAACTACTTAATTTAGTGAGTATACCATTATTGACAACATGTGGTTTGATACCTTGCAGCAGACATTGTGTAAAATGCATTTTTCATTATAATGGTCACTGGTGTCACCTTCCTAACACCAGTGAAGATCAGTTTATGTTCTTTTACTGTTTCACTAAATGCCAAATGTAACAATTTAGTCTCATCTAATAATTATAGTTGAAGAATAAGGATCTTTGGTATGATCTTATGTCACTGGTGATTCATTGTGTCACTGGTGTTACCGTGTTTTTTTTCTGTCACATTAAATAAAATGTGTCACATGTGGCATGATAATTTTACATCCATTGCATTCTCAAGAGTTAAGATTTAAAGGATTGCATCATTACTTGTTTATAACTGTTTTTACAAATATTTTCATTGTTATAGCAAATACATTGTTGCGCAAATGAACGAACGTCATTCAATCACACTTTTAACAAACCTGATTAAAATAAAACAATCTCCTTATTTGTTGCATTATTATTATTATTATGGAACTCTGACATGTGCTGAAAAAAAACGAGAAATTGACAAAGTAGTAAGGTAACACCAGTGACAAAACATGGTACATGTGTGGTCTTTAAATAAATGCACAAAAAAGATTTTTTAAAAATCATTAAGCTGTCATTTATATGTATTCATAAAGTCAAAAGCATGTGGGGGCTTGTTAGAACGTGCCGTTTTAGGTAGGCGTGGCTGACTCTTAACTTTTATAAAGAATATCTCTTTGGATTTGAGACTTTAGTCTTTGCAACTTTACAGATCTTCTTTATGCACCAAGAGCTTGTAACACTCCAAAGAGAAAGGAAGAATTGAAATCGCATCATATGACCCCTTTAAGACATCTTGCCATACCAAAAGTGGACGTTTCTGTAGCATGACCTGTAAATATCAACCTTACATTAACCTTACGTAAAAATCCCATTAACGTTTACCCCAGCAGTGCGTGCGCATAAACTTTATACACATTTCTGAGGCGACGCAGTTCTATCAGATTATATTATATTGTTTCAATCGGAAGATGGAATGGAGAGCTGCGTTCCAGTTTTACTCGAGTCGGCAAAGTACTGACTCAGGCTAATTGCGAAACAAAGAAAACCGTGTAAGTGACATATTTTAGATTCACAACAGCTAATTACGGTCTCAGGATAATTACGAAATGTAGAAAATCAATGAAAAAAAAAATGTAGGGCAGAAGTTGATCTTATATTGCTATATCTTGTTAGTTTTGTTAGTCGCTCATCGAAGCAGATCAGTGATTAGAGGTAAGTGGTTATTTTTCCTGTTCAAGTCTTCATGATAAAGCCTCGGGAGCCATAAACGTCCACAGGAGAGAAATACTCATACTTTCAGTAATGTAGGAGTTTTGATGTGACTCATGAGAAAAAAAAAAACTGTAGACATTTTAAAGGAGATTTTAAAAGAACCTTTTAGATTGAAAATTGAGGAAAGAAATTAACACTTTACACAATTTGTTCAACCTTGAGAAAAACCACACACTTGCCTGTAGTATGGGAGCAGTGTCTATGTGCAACCAAATCAAACATTGACGTCACGTTACCAAACCTCTTTTACAAGAAATGACCAAAAAACAAAGGAGACAAACTGTGGCTGTCTATCAGCAAATGCTAACACATGCTTTCTCCAGATATTACAGACCTTATCTGAATGTGGTGTAGGATATCAGACCGAATCAGACAATCTAAGATTTGGTCAGGCACAGAGACTGCCTTTTTACACGAGTAGATGTAACAAAATCATCTTAAAAGGACTGGTGAGCAACTAATCATTTCTATGCATAACTCCATATCATGTATGTAACCCACACATCAGACGATCAGGTCTTAATCATTTATTGTGTATGTATTTTGAATAACACACATTTCATTACACCAAATACACAAAATAATGTTCTTTTTAGCAACATCATATGACCCCTTTAAATAACCATTTGCTGTAAAAAAAAAAATTTAAAAAAGGGCCACCTTAAAACACATTCTGACGTTTATGGACTATAAAAAAACAGAGCTTGCACAGTACCCCCCATCCAGAGCATCTGCAGCTACACCTGCACAAACACTGCGATGATCCATTTACATTTTCACAGAGCAAAACATTTGCAGATGAAAAGAGGCCGAAAGCTCTTCTGAAAACCCATGCAAATGAGAGGTCTTTAAATGTGAGGTTTCCTCTGGGAACAGCCACAAATACACACTGGAACAGTCCCTTTGAGCGGCCAGACGGTGACAAAATGATACTCACGTACTGCTTGAAACTTCACATCCAAACAGAAAAAAGTTGATTACTACAGATACATTTAAAATGAATACTGGGAAGATGTATTGTTTTGTAAAATACATGTGTAACTCAACTCAAATCTCAAATTTTGACTAAATACTGTAAAGCATCTTTCAAATGATTTATGAATTACAATATAGCTTACAAATAAATATGAATATGCTTTAATAGCTTTCACTTAACAGTGGTGGCTTTTGGCTTATGAAAATGAGCAATTTGCATTTCCTAGAAAACAGACACCAAATGTAAGTAAAGATCCATAAACCATTTAATGCTTACAATTTAATCCATTAAAAGGCTAAAAAAGGTGAACATTTACCATTCAATTTGACATCAAGTAGTTAAAGTCATAAAATTAGTCTCAAGACAAGAATCAGAGATCCATATTAATTTGATTTTGTAAGTAGAACTAAAAATTAGCTGATCATAAAATTAAACAGCAATCAAGCAGAAGAGAAACCAGTTTTAAACTGATTTTCTTCATCTCTCTTCATACAAGGCTTCCCCCTTCTGAGCCTTTGGGTAGCTCATCTCACAGTATACAAATATTGATGTGTGTGTGTGTGTGTGTGTGTGTGTGAATCTAGACAGTCTGCCCTCAGACAGGAAAGTCTGACGCTGACGCTAATGGCCTGTGCAACCACACTGAGAAACCATACGCTTGCTCCCAGTGTAGTACAACCTCTTACAGCTGCACAAATTCATAAATCACACATTTGGAGAAGGTTGTGGGAATCTGGCTTTCAGCTCACATTACACCGTGTGAAATTAGCTGTCATTTAAGTATTGTCTTTAATACTTTTTATTTCCAATCAGAAAACCTATACAGGTTAGAGACCATATAGTTGCCCCAATCAAGGAAATTAAGTAGTGTAGTATTTTTTTTTTAAACCAGGTCTACTAGTAATGTTTATCTATCGCTATAACATAGGCATGTTTATGCTTTTTATTTCAAGACACTACAGGCGAAAACAGTCTTTTCATGCTATTTGGCTTTTTATAACAGTTTGCTAAATTTTTAAGCACTTCATCAGTCTAGAATTCAATTATAATAATTTCTCCACCTCAGCAGAACTTACAAACTTATCAGTTTTATTCACATCTATATTTTTAATTTCTTTAAAAAAAAAACGGTGCAAATATTTTCTAACGGTACTTTCTGATTTGTGAAGTGATAAAAATTAAATATCTAAAATCCCCTCTGCAAAGACATTTAACTCTGAACAAATCCTCTTTTTTTGTGACGTATTTAGTGTTCGACTTTCTTTTCTGGAAATGAATGCAAATTTAATTAATGCATCATTTGCAAATTTAATAGCATTTCAGAAAACTTGTAATACAATATTTATTAATCTTATTTTTTTTTTCATAAACTATTTTTAATGTTATCAGTCAACTGGGGAAATATGGTGATATCTATAATTTGTTATTTTTACCATATTCACCTGTGGTGTCTTGCCTTAATATACTGCTAGTATGTTTACTACTAATAACAGCTGTGAAAATACTAGTTTTTTTTTCTCCTCCAAAAACACTTGAGTGCACGCGTTCGTTCAGAAAGCAGAACAAGAACAACTTTTAAACATTACCTTTTAAGTGAAGTAATTTCTTCGCCACTGTCGTCACCAAACTGACCCTTTCGAACAGGTTTCCGAAACTCTCCCTGTCTGCATCCGGACAAACTCTTTACTCATGTAAAAACATTACAGCAGCAAATTGAACTTCCTGTGACATGCCATTTAATAAACATTGAAGCTGTTGATTTCGTACTCCCTGACTGGAATACATACGTTTACTTTGCCTGATCTGAGAGCAGCGTCTCAACACGCAGTCTCGAGGTCTGCGCTTACAGTTGTCATCACGGTTCACAGTCTAAGAGAGCAAGACAGTGCAAACACAGGATCTACACTTCATTTAAAACAATTTAATCTTTACATATTTGTGTTTTTTTTAATGTACAATCAAATCAATCATACATAAAATTCTCCATATTGTACAACTCTAGCACTAGTATAAATTAAAAAAAAATTAGATCAATATATAACAACATTTTGTTTTCTTCACTGATTAACAGAGGAACATCAATTGCTAATGAGAACACAGAAGCCCCACCCACATGGCTCAATTACTGTCAATCAATCGGGGGGGGGGTTCACCATGGAAACAAAGCAAAAGGACAGAATTTCACCAATCAGTTAAAAGACAACACTTCGGCCTTGTTTTGGAAAAGAAATGACCATGCGCATATGTAATTCAAAATTAAATTTAAGAAAAAACAGATGGTAGTGCAACTGGTAGGTTAGTTTAACATACAGCAATGGTTACCACAAGTGTCAAATTTACACAAAACTGTGCCACGTATTTCTCAGGAAAAGAAAATGAAGGGGCCAACAGGAGCAAGCACAAATGAACTAGAGTTTCCATTCTAACGATCTCTAACAGTCACATTTCATCATCGCTTTTTCAGTGCCAATACGTAACATCTGAATCATCTGGCATCTCCAAAAACAGTTTAGTTGTTAGCCTGTATTTACATGTAGTTTTTTAGTGTCATAAAAAATGTCTGGGTCATATTTCAGCCTTGTATTAAAAGGAAAAAATATTTAGCATAATGAAGCTTTACATGCATTTTGACATGGTTTTCATGACAATTTGGCTTGATGGTTCAGTACTGGGAACAATATTTTTTCACATAAAATTTCTCAAAATAACTATTCGGGGGTAAAATATGCATCATTTGAAATTTAAAATGGGTTAGGGTTCAAAACGGGCTTCATTTTCATTACACAAAATACATATTTTATTTTGGGATGAAATATGACCTGGGCATTTCTTCGTGGGATTTATACTTTAGAGCCTGTTCTTAGATAGCCGTCAGATGCGGATAAACAATTTGAGATGTTTAATGTAAGATTTCAGGGCAATCAAATATTTGATTATTCAGATGAGGATGTTATATCACGCGAGATGAAATGTGAGCATACAAGAGAATGGCAAATTTAAACTGCACTGGAGCCAGCATTCACCAGTTTGAACATTAATGCTTGTTTGCAAAGTTAAAAAAGTTGGTCAAGTCACATTTTTTGATTTTCAAACTATTAGGAGTTGCTTAGTACAGTTAAATATAATAGCCAAGATAGCAGCTGTAAAAGAAAAGCGTCTTGGTTTTTCATCCCCAGTAACGAAAAGCACAAAACTTTATAAAGTGTGGGCACTCAGAGACCTGCCAGACAGACTCGTTTGGCTTGTTACCTACAATCCCACTGCGGTTTAGACTGGCCGTCGTAGTGTTGAGATTAAAGATGATTAATTATGTTGTAAGATGTACACCCTGTTCTCCTCCCAACATCCTTTCGCTAGGTAGCACAAAACCCACGCTTGTATGCTTGATCTTTTCGCAATGCTGAATACTTGATCTTCACGGATCGCTCGCAAAAATCACTTGCACGGGCAACGTATCCATTATGTACAGGACACTTTTCGACGTTTCTTCGGCTTCACAGCATCAGATCCCGACTGGAATATTGGGGCGCGTTCAAACACGATCTAGTTCACCGTCTTTCTTGTATCTCTCACACACACTACAAGTAGACAAAGCTATAGAGTCCATTTCGGGATGTGGTGGGACAGTGAGGGTCACGGCGGTCTCGCCTTGTTTCCAGTGGTTCATCTTGACCTTTCACCTCTTTAGGACGCATTTTCTCAGGCAGGAGGCTAAGAGGTCAATCAAGCAGGTCCCGTGTGTGTTTTTGCATGCGCGTGTGAGAGTTAGTTTAGCGTGCTAGCATTTGGAGAAAGTTCCTCCACTTGGCGCGTCCAAGACTCAAGCTTCTCCCAAAAGTTTTTCAAGCAGCCAGGCTCTGCCTCGAAAGACTCGTTTTGGAGTCTTGTGCAAGTATCCAGAGGATGGGGTCCCGTCTGGCGTAGTGTTTTTTATATACTTGGGCGGTTCAGGGTACCGTAGGGGCGTGTGGTCAGAGGGATGAGTTGTCCAGTAAACGGACCTCCTCTTCAATCTCATCTTCCTCGTAGCGGGAAGAGGGGGATGCTAGTTGAACATTATGGACTCGGGGTCTTGGTTTGCCATCTGGGCCATATGACGGAGGATATCTTTTTTTGTAATAATACCAAGGAGGCGCCTATAAAAAGAGAGACAGAAAGAGGTAGAGAAATTTACTACTGCATTTTTGACATGTTTGCAGAGCACTGACATCTTCTGTTGCCAAGTTTTGCAAGGATGTCCCAACGAAATGCATTTTGTATAACTCTATTCTAGACTTGTGCCGGTATTCGGTAATGCGATATATCACGGTAATGAATATGCACGATATTGTTATTGTGGGCACTTCTAAATACAGTGAATAATTATATATTACAAATTATTCAGAATTTTGAATGCATTTTAAGAATACTTTTCCCATCAACTGGTCAAAATGCACAACACTGCTGTATGCTGCGTGAAAGACGCGTGCGCACTCTGATGTTAACAAGCGCGGACGAGAAGCACATGGCGGAACATGTGAGAAGACGCTCTGAATGAAAGCTCACTTTCACTCTCTGAAAGCAGATGGCGCTAAACTGCAGAAATAATAATAATAATAATTGATTTAAATGCAGCCGTTACCCCGGAAACCCTGTAAACAAAGCAGCTGCACTACTTTCTGTTTCTGAATCGTGTTTAAATGACTTACACTCAAATTCAGATTTGTGTATTTGCTATGATGTTCATCACAGCGCCAAATACTTAAATATTTAGACTTAATAGGCTATTTATTT